GGGGGTTTTCTTTGGTGTGTTTTAGCCTCTAGGTAGCAGATAGGGTTTTGCTGGCTGGCAGTGTTACGTGGCACTGACAGTCTCGTTGGTGCTCACCTAGATTTAAGTAATGGAAGCACTTCATGCAAGATGAATCCTCTCCCATTCACAGAGCAAGGCACCTCTGGATAGTACTGTATCTGTTAAACACATTTAAGTTGCATCTGAGGATGCTTCTGACCATCTTGCTGTAGGAAGTCAGCGCCTAAATTTAGGTGTGTGGCTAGCTGATGCCAGCTCTCCAGTTTTGCTTCCTAACTGTGGAAAGAGGTGTGGCCAGTCTGTCTCATGGGCTTGTCCAGGGACCACACCAAAGGCTCCCTCTTCCACAATGGGATGCCAATAGGTGATGATTTGTATGTTACTGGCATTAGTCAGAGTTAGATGAATTAGTGGTGAGTGAGACTTAGATGATGGCCATCCTGATGTGGATCAGTGGTCCTTCAAACCTGCCAAGGTAAGGAGCAGCCACCTGACATCCTTGGTTAAACAGGAAAGAAACCACTGATTTATATCAATTTAATATATGTATGTATGTGTATTTACATATTTATATATATTGGGGTGGCATGGTTTAGTGTGCGGTGTCCCTGCCCATGGCAGGGTGGTTGGGACTAGATGATCTTAAGGTCCTTTCCAACCCTAACTATTCTATGATTCTCTCTCTGTATATACACACACATACACACTTGCAATCCCATGGGATATGCTGCTGTTTCATTTTCATCTTTGTCCTGAGTTATAGGGGTGCTGGGGAGGGACTCTTCATTAGGGACTGTAGTGACAGGACAAGGGGTAATGGGTTAAAACTTAAACAGGGGAAGTTTAGATTGGATATAAGGAAGAAATTCTTTACTGTTAGGGTGGTGAGGCACTGGAATGGGTTGCCCAGGGAGGTTGTGAATGCTCCATCCCTGGCGGTGTTCAAGGCCAGGATAGACGAAGCCTTGGGTGGCAGGGTTTAGTGTGCGGTGTCCCTGCCCATGGCAGGGGGTTTGGAACTCGATGATCTTAAGGTCCTTTCCAACCCAAACTATTCTATGATTCTATGATTCGATTCTATGATTCTATATTGGTACAAAGCAGCCTCCTGTCCTTGGGAGACCAAAATGCAATCAAAAGTAACTGTAAAGGCACCCACTGATTGTCCTGTCAAGGGATGGAGAGGGAGTCCCATCTAATTCTGTGCTCCAGGATGGATTCCTGTACAGGAACACCTTATCTCATAGTCTGAAAACGAAGCTCGGAATGGAAAAGAAGGAGGAAGGGGTTGTAAAACTAGCAGGTTTGAGCTGGTTAAGGTGATAGAGCAGATGGCCAAATCTGGCCTCTCCAGAGGTTTGTAGCTCTCTTTCCATAGCTTTCCGCTGTCTACCCTGGGCATGTAAGAAGTGCTGATGCTCCTGTATCTGTGGAGGAAGCTGACAGTGTCTTCTTTAGGTGATGCAGAAAAGACCAGAGTGAAAAATACTTGTATTTGAAGCTCCATGTTGTGATGGAGGCACCTATGACAAGGTGGATGTGGTGGGTAGGAAGAGGTACAGGTCTGTCCTGCCCTGCAGTTCAGGTTTGCTGTACCACTTGCATGTACCCTGTAGAGTTAGCCAGGGAAGCTGGCCTCACTGGGGCACAGAACTGGGGTTCTTTAGATGGGGTACTGCAGTTGCACAATAAAAACTGTTCTCTAACAAAGGGAGAAAAGGTTTTCCATTTCCAAATGTTGTTCAAGAAAACTCACACTATTTGATGGCTTGCTTCTTAAATGAAAGTGAAGGGCAAAGTTCTGGGGCGAGGAGCTGTTAACCCTGGAGACATGGGCAAGTTCTAGGGTGGTTTAAGAAGCAGGTTGTCTTTTCTAGTGTCTGTATCAGCCTGGTTAGCCAAAACCTGGCTGGGGCTGTCTAGTGCACGGTGTGCAGAACCAACAACTATATTCTCCTGTTTGTGATGATGGCAGGGGGCTGGAACTAGATTATCTTTTGGTGCTTTCCCACGCAAACCATTCTATGAATGGCAGTGACCTCCTACCACCAAAGCAGTGTGAGGGGGTGCACGTGTTTGGGAGAGATCTCAAACTTGCTGCTGCTTTGTGGGCACAAGGAGATGACAGAGGGAAGTGACTCACAAGTGCCAGCGTGACTGCAGTGCAGAAGAGCCGACTTGCAGAGGGTGCTGTGGCTGTTTGCCTGTATCCCCATGGGGGGCAGAGCACAGGTGACAACACAGAGCGAAAGGGGAAGAGTTCAAACGCAGGAAGGACACGATGGATGTGTTTGTTTTCACCTGGGTTGTTTGTACTTGGGTCTCTGATGGGTGATGTAGGAGCAATGGTCAGTCTTGGGATGCAGGGCAGAAAGCAGCACTGTACCTAACCTGTGGCAAAGACAGCGAGGTACCGACTCTGTCAGAAGAGGCTGTCCATGCTTAAGGAGGATCAAACCTCTTTGATATGTTCTTTAGCTGCCTGTAACACTGCTCCTGTCTCCTCCTCAGACCACCCAAGGAGCTGTTGCCTCTATGGGCTCTGCTGTTAGTGCTCACACGTAACCATCCTGCCTCCCTCCTCCTTCCCTCCCTCTGTGCCTGCTGGTCCGGAGCTCTCTGCTTGCTGCCCTCAAGCTCAGCAGCCTCTCTGCACCGTTGGCCCTCCCAGTTCATCCCTCCTTTGCTTCCCTCCCAATCATGGCTTGAGCAATTAAAACATTGGGATGCAGGGTTATCCTTGGCACAGAGGCACTAGCTGGATGCCTCTGCTTCTTAGCTGTAGCTTTGCAATGAGGCAGATGTCTTGGTAGGTTGCTAACAAATGGTGGAATAAGGAATACGTATGCCCTTGCTGGGAAGCAGATTCCCCTAGAACTGGGCTTGGTTGGATACCAGCTCTTAGTAAGCCCTGGTATGACCTGCTGGTCTCTATGGCCAGAGCTTATGCACGCCTCTGGTGTTGCCTTCCCCTGCCATGTCTCGACAGTATTGTGCCGAGAAGAGTGGGGCAGAGCTCCCAGCCCCTGCCATCCCACAGCATTGGCATCTCATGGTGGGTTGGGTTCCCTTGCACTGATGAACCCCAATTACAGCCAAATTACAGCCAAATTCCAGCCCAGTCAGTGTTGCCAGGGGTTATCTTCAAGAGGAAATGCTGCAGCTTTCCTAAGCCAGATACTGTAGCTCAGATTTGCAGACCTGAGATATTCTGATGAGCCTGGGAAGAGGATAACCAGCTGGCAGGGTCCTCATAGAGGGCTGAAGCAAGCGCATGTAATAGATATGGCACCATTATTGTTGTTAGCAATACAAGTATGCTTTTACTTATTACTTGGTGACTATCCCATTGGAAACATTCATGTATAATTAGCATTGATTCTTTCTGAGTGAACTGATCTAAAACCCCAGGTGATGGAGCCCCTGTCTCTTGCCCAGACAGTGAGTGTCACATAACCAGCCATTCACTTCGTCAGGAAGAACATTAATTCTGTTCAGGATGGGAAAAGTTATTCTGCTAGTATTGGAAATGGCAACCAAAAGCCTTCAGACTACTGCTGGTAACCAGGTGGGTAAGGTATGGCAGGGAGCAGATTGTAAGTGATGCCTTTTTAGAGAGGAGGGTGCAGGATACTGACTGGTCCTTGTCTAGAGGAGGGTCAGTCCAGGAGTATCTTGTCTTTGGGGATTGTTTTGGGATTAGTTTGGAAGGGATTGAGCCTGCTGCTCTGCTCAAAACACTCTGGAAATTTGTGAGCTACTTCTACAAGGCCGGTTGGGGTAGGGGGAAGAGTTGGAAGGGTCCATCTCTATGGGCTTTTCCTGGTTTGCAGAGGTGAGAAGAAATGAAGTCTCTGATACCTTGACAGAGGGGTGCCAGAGAAGGGGCAAACCAAATGACTGATGCCCCAAAGCAACACGTGCTTGTAAGGAACTGTTTGAGTGGGATGCTTTCTGGGTTTTCTAGCTTTCCCTGTATAAAGGATTTTAGTGGTCTGTGCTTTGAGGAGATGGGATACTTACCCATTGCACAAGCAGAGCTTCTTCCCTTCAAATCCCTGTATCCATCTAGCTCAAAGTAGCTCAACACCATGGGGAGGATACTGGCAATGTCCATCAGCTGCTGAAGGAGAGAGGAAACGTGCATCTCCAAGGCTGTATCTTTTCCTCCAAGTGGATTAGAGCATATTGATTACCCAAACCAAGATTCACAGAAATTGATCCACTCTCCTTATTGCTCCGAGGAATGACTTCTCTATTAAGCACTTGTGATATTACTGAGCCCTTGAGAGCCCAGGAGCATCTGCAAGTGCTGGCATTGCTGGATAAGCACAGGGAACTCCAGCTCTTAAGGCAGAGCCAGAGCTGTATCTCTCCCTTTTACAGAAGCTGCCTGCCTTGTAAGACACTTGTAGGACTTCGGCTCCAACAAAGCCATTGATTTAGGAAAGATGGGTGATGCAGGAGGAGATGCAAGTCAAGAAAGTTATTTGTGGTGGATTTCAGAGGCAGGTTGGTATAATGGAGAGTGGGGCAGGAGGCAGATAAATATAGGTAGTGTTAGCATCTGCTGGGTACATAGGGCTTTTTGAACCATGTCTAAAATCTGTCATTTGCATGTCCTTCAGATTAACCAGAGGTTTGCTTAATTCTTATCTTCATTTCAGAATCAGCCCTAAAAGGAGTTGGAAGGCTTTAGCTTAGAGCTTGGTATGTTTTGATCTTTAGTGGAATAATGACTTACAGACCCGGCAGGGACACTAAACCTCTCTACCCCAGCCATGTGCTCTGACAGCTATAGATGGGAAATCTCTCCACTAGTGTCAAGTTTAGTGTTGAGTACTTGTCTTGCTGCAAAACCTGCAATATGGAAACACTTCCCTGTCTCTAATCAGCCCAGGCATCAAGCACAAGGCAACTCTTCTGCAAGGGCATCTCCTCCTGCCTTCTGTCTCAGATTTGACATGCTGTTTTTGCAGGTGACCCCCCACAAGCTGCTGCCTGGATTGGCCAGTGTGTCCTCTACTTGCTGATAATGGTTTTTGAGAAGACTGTGATTAGCCTTGTCCTGCTTATCCCTGGTTGGACAAAGGTAAGCCTCAGCTCCTGTGGCTTGTTTCTTGTCAGCTTTGCCTCATTAGTGGTCTCCATCGTCAGTCTTCACCACTTACGACTTGACACCCCCCTGTAATCTTTAGCTATTACTTAGGTTTGGGGAAACATGACTTTTTTAACAAACATTTTCTTGCTGCTCAACAGTTACAGGAATAAGATGCTGCTCTTATTTCATTTTCCATCCTTGGAAGGATGGAATGGGCTGGGCTGGCAGCTGAACTACGGCAGTTCTGCTAGGGGATTTCAACATGATCTCTTCAAGTCAGTTTGTGTTAGTGTTTCATGATCCCATGCCTAAAATAGGGGGACCCTTAGAGATTAATTTGGAAAAAACTATCCCTGTAGTATGCTGTCCTCCTCAACTGCTTCCCTATGGCAATTTGTGCAGTGGTAATTGTGTTGTCACAAGTTTCTTTTTTAAAAGCTAAAAATAATAACCTGTGGCACTTGTAGACGCATACTTGGTGGTAGTAGGTGTGATGGGTATAAAAGCCAATTTTGGGACTCAGTGGGTAACTCCAGTTTTAAGTGCATTTACACATAGTGCTCACAAGCTGATGTGGCTTGACTGAGGACTTGAGTTACAGTAGTCTGACAGCACTTATCTGTTCTTGTTCAGGGCTTGTCCTTCAAACCCCAGTAGCCTGCAGTGCTCAGACTTGGATGTGAACATGCTCAGCAGCATGCACTGCTAGATCCAGAGATGCTGCTGGATTCCTCTCCATGCTTATCACATGTGGCTGGTGACCTTATTTTGCAGCAAGGAGCCAAGGAAAGTCCCACTAGTAGTTGTTATGGGTAGTTATGCTGAAAAGACTAGGAGTACTTCTTGCTCTGTACAAAATCACATGTTTGGCAACTGGGCTAAGGGAATAACCCATATTACCTTTCTAAGAGCCAGGACAAAGCAAAGGCAGAGCCCTGTGTAAGACACTGCTGGTGTAAGAAGGCAACCAGTTTGCAGCAGAGCTGTTCAAATAATGCTTCTAAATGGTTTCTCCTCTGCAGCTTCAGCAGATCCTCCTGGGTTACATCCCAAACCCTCAGCTGGAGCTCATCCTGGTCATGCTTGTTGTGCCTTTTATAGTCAATGTAAGTGATGATGCTGCAAGTGCTGGGTGGGGTGGTTTGGAAATCATGGTTCATCCCCATGGGGAGCTTGGGGTTAGCCTGCAGTGGCTGGGACAGGGTGGAGAGGAGTGGAAACAAATGTATGTGTTGTCACAAATATACAGATCTGTTACTGGTGCTTGCCATGGTCTCTCTTCCCAGTTCGTGTTCCCTTTTCCAGGCTGCTGGGTGGCTGACTTTATCTCTTTGAAGAAAGCTGGGGCTCCTTAGTTGAGGGCTATAGGCATGGGGATGCCCCAAACCCCTTTATGTTCCTATAGGATGGCTTGTCAGTGGTGACCTTTGGCAACCTGTCACTAGCCGTTTGGCTAGACTTCAAATTGTGTTGCAGCAAGGCAAAGTGTTCAGGTTGCCTAAAACTAGCTCAGCAAAACCTCTTGAAAGCTCAGTTTTTTCCTGGTTCCCCTCACTCTGAGTAATGCTTGACCTGCTGCTCAGTTCCTGTTAAGATGAGAAGTGAGAAGAAGGCATTAAGATTCAGATGCTCCATGGGCAACGGGCGAGTTGAGCTCTCTTTCAACTCATACCAGGAGCAGTGTAAAGAATGCAGCACTGGCAAAGTTGGGTTTATGTGCCTCTGCTACCACCCTCTCTCTGCCATGTCAGGCTGCATTTCCTTGCCTGAAAGCAAACTCTGGTTGTCAGAGAGCTGACCAGGGGCTGGTACAGGCAGAGCAGATGAACCATGGATGGAGCTTAGTTTGGTGTTCATCTCCTGGTGGAAACTTGGCCTGATGTAGTCTCTTTTTCGCTGGGTCTTTGACAAGTATGGAATCAATATATGGGAAGGGACCTTCTGAATTTGACTTATCCAACCCCCATGGGCACTTTTGATGCGGAGTTAAGTTAGATATTAAATTAGGTTGATCAAGGCTGGACATCTGGAGAAACCAAAAGAAGAATAGCTGTGATTGAATCACTTTGTATTTTGGTCTCTTAAATCTACTAATGTAATTTGTTTCTCCCCAAGGCCATTATGTTCTGGGTTGTGGACAGCTTGATCATGAAGAAATACAAGCAGAAGGACACCATAGACATTAACGGATCCATAGAAACTCCTCGTGCTAGGAGGACTGAGGAATCTCAGGTAAGACCAAAGTGTTTGAGACCCAACTGCAAGCTTGTAATACGGTCTGTGCGCTTTACTACAACGTAACATCATGTTGCCTAGACCTAGGGTGATGCTTCATGAATGTGGGTGATGACCCTGCTGACTTCCCATGCTTGCAGCTCAGGTCAATAGAGGGCTATTTCCTGGGAGGGTCTTGTCCTATGAGCAACACCACAGCCTATGAAGCATTGCTGAAATATTAGAGTCATATATAACAGAATCATAGAATGGTTTGGGTTAGAAAGGACCTTAAGATCATCTGGTTCCAGCCCCTCTTCCATGGGCAAGGATGCCTCACACTAGACCATGTTGCCCATATTGCCCTGAATGATGACAGTATCTTGTGGGGGATGCTTTTGCACTAACCTGGCTGGGGTTGTTGGATTGGTAGCTGAAGCTGTTGCATGTTACACTGTTGCTCTCAACTTTCCTTGTTTTAACAGTAATTAATCTTGGCTTAGAGCTTGCTTTCCCTATTGGTATTGATAGAATCCATTTATTTAGAGGCTAAGGTGTGGCTGGGAATCCATGCTTTGTCAACATTTGGTACTTCTTCAGCTAGTGATGGCCCCTTAGCTGTAGAAAGCTGTATTTTGTGTAGTTTGAGCTGAAGTTATGGTTGGAAGGAATTCTCCAGCCCCAGGAGATGTTGGTGTTAATGACGCACAGTGTGAGCAGGTGGTGGTTTTGCTTCTCATTGACTTTTGGGCAGAGATCACAACCCGAGTCACTGGCTTGAATTCCCTTCCTTCCCCTGGCACCCAGACCTGGTTTCCAAGTGCTCTGTGTACAGCTGTGGTACCCTGCAGCTCACTGCCAAGACGCACTGCAATAAGAGCTTCTGGCATCACAGGTTGGCTCCGGGAGCAGCTTCTGCTGAGGGATTTAGGATGTACAGAAGTATCTTTTGCTCTCTGATAGCTTTTTGACAGAGTAACTCAGCTTTTGTGCTGGGCCAGATGGCCTGTTACTGGTGACAATAAAGCACACAACAGAGGTGATAGTGTTTAAGGGTGTGCTTGGCAGTCTGCACCATGGATTCTGTGTCCCAAGGGCACAGTGGGGAAGCATCCGCTGCTCCTTAGGATGCAGTGTCAGAGGAGGCAGGGAGGGCAGACAGATGTGAGCAGCTGCTGAGACAACTGTATCACTCTTCCTGGCCTTGCATCCAGATAAACAGTGGTAGCTCGGCAAGGTCTCTAGACACATGCAGCTTCCCAAGTGGTGTGTGTGGTAGGAAATCTTTTCCCTCTTCTCTCCAGAACAATAAAAGTGACCTGAGCTGGGCAGTATCAGTGTGACTCGATTGGTTATGCATTGAAGCCAAGAACTCGTACCTAAGACATGAAGATGGATTAACTCTGGGTGTGAACTTGTCCCTGGGTATGGCACAGTCTGGGTTTCTTGGTTGTGACTGATGTTTGAGAGTGGTACTTCCTTAGAAGAGCTAGTTTGGGGTCTGTTCAGAATGTAAAGCTGATGGTAAAGATCTTACTCACTGGATGTGCTGTTGCATTTCTGAAGGTTTAAAATGGGCTAAAATTACGGCAGATCAGAAGGAGGTGACATCTCTACTTGAGATACCAACCTCCTTTCCAGCATCTTGTCTTATAGATGGTATTGCAGTTATTGGTCGTCTGTGGAAATGAAGCTGCTTCACCAAAGAGGTGGGGCAAGAGTTTTGTGGCTTCTAGCTCAGTTTTGCATAGTCTGAAGGGATGATATATGTTAATCTCCAGAAGCTAGGAAAGTCTCTTCTGGCAGCTCAACCAGATGGGTTGTTCCAAATGATAGAAACAGCTCCCACAGTCTGACTCCTGCTGCCAAAGGCTTCTTCCATCTTCCAAGTAATTGAATCCTTTTCTCAGGCCATGTTTTGCTGAGTTCTTCAATGTTCAGGTCATCTGTCCATCTTGAAATCCTCTAATCCATTACTGCAGTGGATCTACTCCGGTAATGGAGCTACTAAGGGGACCAGTTCCTACCTGGAGCAGCCTATGAGGACTGGCTCTTTCTTGCTCAGACGTGTTCCTGTGCCTCTGGCCCAACAAATAGTCTGGGCAGAGAAGGAAGCTAATGAGGAAATACAGAAGTGGGTGACCTGCTTTTCCAACTCTGTTTCTTGGCACTGGGCTTTGAGGTATAGCTTCTGCTCCACATGTCAACTTCTTATGCTGTGAGTTAAAGATGATGTTGGCTGGCTGAGCCCTACAGTTGGATTCACTGAATTTTAGTCTTGAAAGCAGAAAACGAGGGTTTTCTGGGCTAATGCTCTGTTCAAGGGGGGGGATTTCTCCTCTCCCTGCTGCCCACTGGAGGAGGAGGAAGGAGGGGCTGGGATGGTGTCTGTACAGAGCAGAGTTGGCTGAGGCTATGTCCTGCAGTTTATCAGGGTTCATCAGAGCTGTTTAGCAGCAGGCGCCAGCAGCTCCCCGTCATGCTTGAATCTCAACCCTCTGCCTATCTTGCCAGTAGAGATTGTCATAAGTTTCACTTGAGCTAGCAGTCTGTGTTGGGAAGAGGAAGGAGAACAGGAAGAGGGGGCTGAAGTTAACCTGTTAAAACCCCACACTCAATGTTCTCTACAGGGATAGTGGGAAAACTCAGCTTTGTCCTTGGCTTGGTAGATGGAAGAAACCCAGCAGCCAGCAACCTTGACTTACTGCCTGTTTGGCTGCACTGTAGAGAGAAGAACTGGCAGCCTCTTGTGGCCTTTAAGGCTCTTCTGGTGAGCCACAGATGTGACGACGGGCTCTTCCTTATATTGGAGCAAATGCTGAACTTCCTTACACTGAACCCTGAAAGGGACAAAACCTCCCTGTTTATGGCTGGAAGATTTTCACCCTTCCTTCAAAGCCAGTCTTAAGCTTTCTGTTGTTTCAGACTTGCGCCCTGCCTTGGTAGATGTTCATCCAGTCTATTTTCCTCCCCTCTTGTGGGATAGAGAAAGATCCCTCAAGGGTGTCAGCCTGAATCCAGTGCTGTTCAGGCTGGGGAAGTGCATTCCTCTGTGTGGCCCTTAGTTCTCCTTTGTGCGTGTCCTGCTCTTGACCCAAGTCTCTTTCCCTTGCCCTGGCAAGTGCCAGTAAAATGTAGATGTTATCAGAGATGTCTTTGTTTCCTCTGCTCAGGAAAACAAATTTCGTAATGTTTTGTTTGATCTTTTTTGAGCGTGTTTTGTTGCTTTGATTTGGTGTTTTCCCAAGGGAGGGGATGAGTTTCTGCTCCCTTCCTGAAGGATTACATTATTGGAGATAAGTCTTAAAGCAAAACTTGGTCTAATAACAGTGGTACTTGTAAGACCCATTGGGGTGAAACTAGAGGCTAGTTTTAAGGTTGGGAGGGAAGCTAATACACTATGTGAGGACCTGCCTTTGGTCAGTATGGAGTTCAGCAGCTATCCTCATCCCCTTTGCAGGAGCTGTGACTTCTGGCATTCACAAGACTGAAGATGCTGATGAATACCAGTAGCTGTGTTGCTTGCTTTTAAGTATTGAAAAATACTCCAAGAGTGAGTTTGACTTGCTTATTGCTCAGCTGAGCTCATTTTTAAGTATCTCCAACTCGGGGTGAACTCAGATGCCTGCTACTTATGGGGAAGCTGAATGAAGGTGCGCACAGAGGTGCCTCTGGAAGGAAACCATCCCACTTTTCAGTCTTACTGACTTAGGGCATCTCGTGTAAGCTCCGATGCAGGAGGGTGATGGGATGGTACTTAACATCCCCACCAGGCTGGTGGGACTTAACGTAGTGGGGAAATGGCCCTGGAGCTGCTTTGTTTTACAGCTCCCATGTCTGTCAGTCTCTTCCTCTGCCACTGAGATGGCTTGGTTACCTCCAGGTCTGCTTAGATGGAGCACCAAAGAAGCAGGCAGCTGCTTCTCCCAACAGGAGAGATTGGCAGTGCATGGGCAGCCCTGTTTCACTACCATGAACATTGCTGTCTTGCAAGCTGCTGGCCTCCTGGTGTGGGGAGGAATGCATAAAGTATTTGAGGACTGCTGAGTGAGACAGTAACTCCTTGTCCCGGGACTGGGAAACCATGGCCCATTCCCTGCTGTGATCCTGACCTGGATGCATCTGCAGGCAAATTGCCTTGTCCAAGTTCTGCTGAAGCCTCCCAAACTGGAGTTGGGTTTGAAAACAGCATCTGAGGGTATGTCCTGTGACTGTCATAGTGATGAGACGCTGTCTTGTGGTGAAACTGCCTTGGGGGATTGTAGGAGGGTTACATGGAGGGCTGTAGGCTCAAGCAGCTTCCTACAAGCTGTATGGTGGGCAGGTAGCAGCCTGACGGGGTCTGGACGTGCGATGCTTAGTGCTTGCTCAGTCATCTGCACTTGGCTGTGAGAGGATTAGAGTTTGCTGCTGAAACCCACCAAAATTACCAGTTCATCATGCCCCAAAACTCATCTGTTGCAGCCCGTGAGTTCAGTGAGTTTGTAATGCTGGGTGACTAACTGCCCATGTTTTCAGGTTCCACAGCATCGCAATATTAATGTGATAAACAGAGGAAGTCTTTACTTGGGAAAGATGGAAACTTTCCAGTGTGTGTCTTGAACCAGCAAAGAATTCATTGAGACCAGTGGCGAAGGACAAGAGTCTGATCCATTGCTGTCCTTTGAGCATCTTAAGTGCTGCTGTGAGGGTAACAACATCAGATGGAGGGGCTGGAGTGTGCACATGAGGGTGGAGAGGAAATCTTCCCCTGCAGCTCTTCTGCTCCTTTGAAGCCATTGACTCACTGGAGTTTGTTTTTCCTGTTTAGTTGTTTTGTTCCTGTGGTAACTGGCTTCGTGGTGCTGCCTGAGTGCTAACGAGTGGAAGCCACTGAATTCACAACTATGCATGGAGATAGCCACAGATAAAACTAATCCCCTATGCTTCTGGTTTTGTCAACACACAGTGGGCTCTGGGACTGATTGAGCTGTTAGGACAGCCTGCATGTGGATGTCCTGGATTGAAAGCCCATGTAGTGTCCTTGCCTTGTGTCTCTGAGCTGGAAGGCTGCTGTGAGCCAGGCACAGGGAGCATTTACGGTGCATAGGTTTGGAGCAAAGTGGTACCTGCCCCTTGTACCTGCATCTACCATGACCTAATGATGCTCTTTGGGTTCTGTGGTGGGGAAAGGGCTGCTGGCATTGCTTAGCTAGAGAAATAAAACTGGAGACGCTTGACTGGGCTGTTAGACTTGTGCCCCTCTGAGCTGGGACCTCTGGTGACCTGGCCAGGTTTCTGATATGTATGTCTGCTGTTTACCATAAATCCCATGATTCAGCTGAGGTTCTGAGCACTGCTGAGCATGACACGAGCTGTAGCTTAAGGGCTGACTGCACTTCATCTGTGCTTTGAGGCAGCTACTGACAGGGGTAATGGCAGTAAGAGCCGCTTTTGCCCAAATCGGGGTGTTTGAGGTAAGAGGGCTAGGATGGGGTTGAGCAACCAGCAACCTGTCCAGCCATAAATATTACCCATGTGAACTTGTCCTTCCAGCCTGCTGACTGGAATTGGGCTTCAGCTCTTCTGCAGTCAGTGCAGCCATACCCCAAGTAAAATCCGGCCTCTTTCCTCTTCCAGGTGATGTGGCTGGAGGATGTCCCACACGTGGCTCTGCACTGTGCGAAGGCTCCAGGCCGGTGGCAGCCAGTTAGCCCAAATGAGCTTGTTGAAGTTAGCTATTGTGAGTGTAGGTGCTCCTGGAGGCCATGGGCATCCTTCTCATCACGCAGGAAAGCTGTGGCCTTTCTTACCTGGAAGGTGTCAGTGCTCTGCTGTGGTTCCCACAATTCAGACTGCCAGCTAGAAATAAGATGCTCCAGTCTAGGACATCACTCCTGATCCTGCTGGCCATGGCTGCAGCTAACCCTGTAGCTCTGCTTGCTCTTCTGGCTGAGCTCTGGAGATGGCCAGCAGCTGGGGGCCTGGGAAAAGGTCTGCATTTGGTACAGCTTATTATAAAGTATGTAGCCTGGTTTTTATGTACATCTCCACTGAGGATGCAGCCTGGCCTGGAAGTGCCTGTCTGAGTCCTGGCCCATGGTAAACAGAGCTTTTAGCTGTCTCTAAGGTCCCTTCCAACACTAACTATTCTATGATCATCCTGGTGTCTGCACCCAAATCTGTTGTTGGACATACGGTCAAGATGACCCTGAGCACTTAGCCATATGCCAGAGAGGATTAGATCTTGCAGCATCCCCCTCTAGGGATGCTTGACCCCTTCAGCAAGCAGTAACAAGAAGAGCTGAGAACTTCCACTCCATCACCATCTCTCTGTTCTCCCTTGCAGGTTTTACTCTCTCCAGACATGGATTTTGATCAGTCTGAAAGTGACCAGGATGTTTCCGTACTGCAGGGAACAAACCAGAAGATGAAGCAGCCCAGCTATCAAGTGGTCATCTGACAACACTGAGACAAAGAAGGTGGAGGGAGGGAAACAGCACTGTGATCCTTGAGCTGGCCAAGGGAATGCTAGTTGATCCTTTTGCCTGCCTCAGCTATACCTACCTGCAGTTGTCTCTTTGGGATGGTATCTATGCATCCTGTACAGGCTTGAGCAGCATCTGCTTTACCTGTGTGATCCTGACCCACACACATGCAGGCACGTTGGGGTTAGGGCTATGGACATGTACTTCCCCCTGGCTTGGCCAGCTGGGTGTAGTTTTTTGTCAGGGCTAGAGACTGAAATCAGGAGATTGTCTGCTTTTTTAATAGGCAAGGAGAAAGATCTGTCCTGTACTGCCTGAACTGTGACACTTTTATATGCACAATACTCAGAATAATGGGTTTGCAATATGTGTTTAAATGCCTTTAAAGGCATTTAAAAGGTTGTTTCTGTGGATCTGATGCTTTTTACTGTTTTATAAGGGAATGCAGTAAATATCTGACTGAAAACCTTCATAAATGAAATGCCTTCATGTGCTTCATGTTTTGCAAAACCCTAATGCTGTGAAGAGGATGAAGGGGATCTGCTTCCCACAGGCCTCTGAACAGCTACTAGACAGTAAACAGTAAAAGAGGATGCTTGTTGCTAACCCAAGCCAGGAGCAGTGAGGTGAAGTATCTCCATATCCCATCATTGCTGGGGGGTGTCTCTCATTTCTGTCTTCATAGACTCAACTTGCTAATGCTACAGAGTCTAATTTCCTCAAGCTTATTCTGCTTTTGAGCCACAAAATGACTGAAGTGGTAGAACAGAATGTAGGAAAGAAGTTTGCCAGGAGCTGGATCTTATTCACTAAGGCATGAATGCAGAAGTATGGAGGCTAGACCACTGCCAAGCAGAACAGAATTCTTATAACTTGATTGTGGGATTATTTATCTCCTTTGTAAAACGAATCTGTGCATTGTCTCTGGTTTTGACACCCCTTCCTCCCACAATTTCCCTGCTTCAGGACATAATCTGCTTATTAGCTGCCCTGCTTAGAATTCCAGATCAGACTAGACCACAGTTTGGGCCCCTAAGGATCAGACGAGCTTGGGCAAAGCAGATCCTGAATGCTGTGTTTTCTTAAGGCTGTTCATTTCAGCCTGTTTGGATATTTCACTCTGTCCTGAAGCAAAAAGTGAAGAGGTAAGTTCCAACAACAGAGCAATTCTGGTGATTCCAGATCTTTCATTTGCCTGTTGTGACTTTGTAACTAGAGAGCTGATAAAGATGCACCATCAAAGTAAGGCAATGTGTCCACACCAGAAAGCTGATCCTCTGTGTAATCTCTCACATGGAGGTGGTGTGTGCAAATGCTACATGCAGGATGCAAAATGCCTGTGGCTGTTTGTTCAGCTGTTGTAGGACTGGTCAAGGGCAACCCCCAGACCAGTACTGGGTTCAATGATCCCAGGAGGAATTGAGCTCTGCAGTCTAGCTGGTTCTCATGCACTCAAGTGCATATCTTGGCTGTTTACGTGTAGTTGCTGTTCCCTTGATTTCAGTCAATGAAGACCTGAACTAGGAAAAGTTTGGATACCTATGAAAGACAGCTCTTTCTATGATTAGGTATACTGTGTTGGCAAACACTTCTGTAGGTGAACTGTGTATGTAACAGTGACCAGGTCTCCTCCTTGCTTAGGATAAAGTTGGAGGTCAGTAAGGGCAAATGAACAGTTTACCTCCCTTTCCAATCCGGGTGAGTGGAGCCAGGGATTCTACAGGTACATAGCAAATAAGAAACAGACCAGGGAGGATGTAGGCCCCCTCAGGAAGCTCTCTGGTGAACTAGCTACACAGGATTTGGAGAAGGCTAAGGTTCTGAATGACTTATTTGCCTTGGTCTTCTCTAGCAAAGGCTCTGACTGCACCACCCAAGTCTTGGAAGGCAGACGCAGGGACTGTGAGAATGGAGACCTTGGGCCCACTGTAGGAGATGAACTGGTGCGAGACCATCTTAAGAACCTGAACGTGCACAAGTCCATGGGACCTGATGAAATCCATCCGTGGGTCCTGAAGGAGCTGGCAAATGAAGTTGCTAAGCCGCTGGCCATCATATTTGAAAAATCCTGGCAGTCAGGTGAAGTTCCAAACGACTGGAAAAAGGAAAATATAACCCCCATTTTCAAGAAGGGGAAAATGGATGACCCAGGGAATTCCAGACCAGTCAGTCTCACCTCTGTGCCTGGCAAAATCTTGGAGCAGATTCTCCTGGAAGGCATGCTAAGGCACATGAAAAACAACAAGGTGCTTGGTGACAGCCAGCATGGCTTCACTAAGGGGAAATCCTGCCTGACCAATTCGGTCGCCTTTTGTGATGGGGCTACAGAACTGATGGACAGGGGTAGAGCAGTTGATGCCATCTACGACTTGTGCAAAGTGTTTGACACTGTCCCACACAACATCCTTGTCTCTAAATTGGAGAGACATCAATTTGATGAATGGACCACTCGGTGGATAAAGAACTGGCTGGATGGCCACATGCAAAGAGTTGTGGTCAATGGCTCAGTGTCCGGCTGGAGACCAGTAACGAGTGGTGTCCCTCAGGGATCGGTGTTGGAACCGGTCTTGTTCAACATCTTCGTCACTGACATGGACAGTGGGATTGAGTGCGCCCTCAGCAAGTTTGCCGATGACACCAAGCTGTGTGGTTTGGTTGATCCGCTGGAGGGAAGGAATGCCATCCAGAGGGACCTTGACACGCTTGTGAGGTGGGCTGATGCCAACCTCATGAAGTTTAACCATGCCAAGTGCAAGGTCCTACACCTGGGTCGGAGCAATCCCAGGCACAGCTACAGGCTGGGCAGAGAAGAGATTCAGAGCAGCCCTGAGGAGAAGGACTTGGGGGTGCTGGTCAATGAGAAAATGAACATGAGCTGGCTTCAGTGTGCGCTTGCAGCCCAGAAAGCAACCGTATCCTGGGCTGCATCAAAAGCAGCGTGACCAGCAGGTCGAAGGAGGTGATCCTGCCCCTCTGCTCTGCTCTCGTGAGACCTCACCTGGAGTATTGTGTGCAGTTCTGGTGTCCTCAACATAAAAAGGACATGGATCTGTTGGAACAAGTCCAGAGGAGGCCACGAGGATGATCAGGGAACTGGAGCACCTCCCATATGAAGATCGGCTGAGAAAGTTGGGGCTGTTCAGCCTGGAGAAGAGAAGGCTGCGTGGAGAGCTCATAGCAGCCTTCCAGTATCTGAAGGGGGCCTATAGGGGAGGGGACTCTTCATTAGGGACTGTAGTGATAGGACAAGGTGTAATGGGTTAAAACTTAAACAGGGGAAGTTTAGATTGGATATAAGGAGGAAATTTTTTCCTGTTAGGGTGGTGAGGCACTGGAATGGGTTGCCCAGGGAGGTTGTGAATGCTCCATCCCTGGGGGTGTTCAAGGCCAGATTGGATGAGGCCTTAGCTGATATGGTTTAGAGTGAGGTGTCCCTGCTCATGGCAGGGGGGTTGGAGCTGGATGATCTTAAGGTCCTTTCCAACCTTAATTATTTTATGATTCTATGCACAGCACCCACTGCATGCACAGTATCCACAGCACCTGTATCAGTATTTTTGCTAGCCTGCAGCATCAGCACCCTGCTGAGATGCAGAGGGTATTTTTTCCCCTCTGTGACTGTATTAGTTCAGTTTTTAATCTCCTTTTCTTTCCAAGACACATTCTACAGTAGTCAGCTATTTTCAAAAAGTACTACTCAAAAGATCTGTGGACTTCAATGTGATAATAAACCAAGCATTTTTCTTAGAGTATTATTCTAGCTCTTCTGTGGACAAATTCTAAATATGGGGAATTTCTCTGATGGGTGTAACACAGGATGGAGTCCAAAGCAGAAGTTCCCAAGCAGAGAACTGTTCTGTGCAGCCACTCTGTGTGTGGGTGTGCGTATGCACACATATATGCATATCAACATTATCATGGCTTGACTTCGCAAACGAAGATTTGGGAAGGGCTTCACCCATGCTTATTACAAGCGCGCTGATGACTAAGAAGACCAATGTGGGATAGGCAAATCCAGCTACAACAAGCACAGTGAAAGGTCTCCTTGGCTGGTACAGGTGGGGCGCGATTCTTTCTGCGTTGTCTTTTATCCTCAAGACTAGTTCTTCGTGAGCACTCAAAGGAGTCAGCGGCATTATGTATGGTGTGCCTCCAAGTCTCCCGATTGGAGGCCAAGGTGGACCAGTGATGGTAGTCAGTATGGCCAAGGCTAAGGTATTGTTTCAGGGAGTCCTTATATCGCTTCTTTGGGGCACCTCTCTTGCGGCTACCGGTGGCAAGGTCACCGTAAAACACAATCTTGGGGAGGCGGTGATCCTTTATCCCAGAGACGTGACACATATGTACTATACATATATATATATACATACACATATACACAAACAAACATATGTATGTATATATATATCTGAGAGGTGCCATCTGTACCTGAGGTGCTGTGCCTCTCAGCAGTACTGACACAGTGCCCTACAAAAATGACTGTGTTGCTTCTGGGCCTCAGTTATTTTTTATGCCTATATTTTAGATGTTAGCCGAAGCTGCCGACCTCCTCAGGTTGGGGTTAACAGAAGCAGAGCCAGCACCAGCCCTGCAGCTGTGTTGTAAGAATGCCGTCCGAATCCACGGGAAAGAATTGGGTAGCCTAAAGCAATTTCACACTTGGAACACATCTTGGTATTACTGGACATATATTATGCATTTCCAGTGATGCCTCAATGAAAAATTCAGAATCATTTCACACAGAAATGAAATAAAAGTCCCGTGGGTGAATCAATAGCTTCTTTGACTTTTAAGTAGACTGTACGTCTTTGAAGTTCCATTCTTTTACTCGGCGGTGCAGGCGGGGCACTGGACCCATGGGGGACACAGAACTTGCCCCACACGGAAGTGGGCGAGCTGGAGGCTGATACGGATGAAGGTGTCAGTGCTGTTCCGCAATCACTTGATGAGTCCCTTCCCAAAGTCCAAGGAAGGGAGCACGTGGAAGGCCACGTCCTCGGCAGGCTCCTGTGCCAGCAGGTACGAGCACTCAATGGCTGCATAGCACTGTGGGGACACACGACATAGCATCCATATGGGACATAGCATCCATAGGGACAAAGGACACGTGGGGACACAGAACTTGCCCCACATCACACACCCTAAGAACCACTATGCACTGGGACACGCTTCATGTGCTGGTGCCATGCGGCAGAGACCGCCCCACGATGTGGGGCAGGAGTTAGGGGTTCAGACCCACCTCCTCTGGGATGTCCCATTGCGCGTGCTGCAGGGGGGCAGCACTGTATTGCACTCCCCCTTGCAGTGCCCATTCTCTATGTAGCACAGCTTGAACTGGTCTGTGCCCACCATAAACTGCGGGGGGAGAGATGTGGGTATGGACCAATGGCCCCCGAAACCCCCCAAAACCTTCCAGACACCCTACCCGTTGAGTTGTACTCAGCTCTCTGAGGTCATCTACTCGGGTTGAAAGGG